AACGAACTGGACGCTCGATTGGCAAGAGCCATATTCGTCCTGTGCAACTGAACTGAACAGTGGTTGCTATTGTTACGAAACAGCCGTTCTGTTGAATTTTTCAAGGTCATTAGGAAGATGGAGGTAATAACACAAGAACGAATCGACGAATTGAAGTCAAAGCTGGCCCTACTAGGTTCGTCGGTTTCTATGTTGTTCACTTTTGTAGAGGGTGATAGGAAGGCGTATGTTGAGACAGCAATGCATGCACTCTCAGAAAATAAAAAACGCGTTGCTGAATTACGATTCGAGAATACAAAGCTAAGAAATGTGTTGAGAGAAGGACTTTCAGCAGAAGATCATATAATAAACCATGTTTTCCACAACCGTCAGGCTGATCGAGCCTGTCTTGCAAATAAAAGTGGACCGGTAAATGGTATATATTCTAAGCTGAATGGATGTTACCATGACCTTTTTGATAAATAATAGGATGCCATTACTTTTATGGACTATCGTACCTGTGATGCAATGAAGAAGTACAACGCTCTGAGGCACATGACTGTGCAGAAGGAGGAAAAGATCGAGGAATTGAAGAAAACATATCACGAATTATTCCAAGCCATCGCTGATAATCAAGCAACAACAGCTGGTACAAATAAAGAAGGAAAAAGACTTCGAGAACTCGAAAATCGTTTGGATAAGGCTAACTTGAAGCATCAAGAGGCAGAGCATATACGTCGTACTTACATGCAGATCAAAGACAAATTGCAAGATGTTGGTTCGATTCTATTTGAAATTACATACTTTAGGAACAACTAACCTATGGCCACAGTCTTGATGCTTTAGAGAAACAAATTAAGGCAGCTCAAGATGAGCTAGTGGAATTACAGGTGATGTATAATGACGCAGTAATCGCGAGAGACGCTGCACAGAAAGAGTTAAAATACCAAGAGGAAGTGATTGCCAACGACAGAAGACGAAGAGATGCCGAGCTCTCGAGTATGAAGAGGGTCGCCGAAGGAAAGAAAAGTTCAAGTGAAAAAAATGTTCAACTGGTGAGTGAATTGACTAACTGAAGTCTTAATATGTATGCGCGTCGACGCGCAGATCGACGTCGATCTGCTCTGATAAAACACTGCAGTACTTCAACAAGTATCATTCCACAATTAAAAGTTCAAACAAATTATTTTTCTTCACACAAGCAGAGACATAAAATGTTACTTCGGACGGCACATGTTGCTCAGTTTTAAATTTTACTAATTCATTTGCAAATAACGGCATTTTATACTTAGGCGTTCTGAACCCCCTACATTGCAAACAAAATTGTGCACATCACCGGTTGATTTTAAGGTATCGCCCAGTGTTGAATCATCGCGTTCCTAAAATTCTTGAACTTATGACTTTGTGGCTTCTTATTACTTTTAACGTCAAAGTTATTCAAGAAATGACTTCTGAGACTGAAGTGACTTTACACTCTGATTATGTTACTAGCAAAACAGTGAAAACACAATGATTCAATAAATTTTTACCCTATCATTACAAGCGCACAATCCAAATCTTTTTATCCCTTCTCCAATTTAGATTTTCATGAATCTTTTTCTTAAAATATGTTTCCATCCAGTTTCAGGATATTATATAGTGGTTTTAAACATATATTGGTTCATTTCTTGTTCAGTGTTTAGACAGGATAGCGATGAAATGCTATATGTTTGCAAACCGAGCACATATACATTTACCACTGACATGATAACAACGCCACAACAATAACAGCAATAATTATAACAGGGGTTGGATGGAAAGGGATACAGAACAGAGTGGAAAGCAGATAAAACACATAAAATGGAAAATAGTATATAACTGGAATAAGAAATATTCTTCTGTTCTAAAGTAATGGTAAACGTGGAGTTCCTGTAAGGATTTGACAATAGAAGCATTTTTAGTTGGTTCAGTCATCGATAGGCTATGGATTTATGAACATTTTGTCCAACTTAAAACGATTGCAGAACTTGTATTTATTTCAAATCTTTAGTTTAAATCGGGAGTCATAAGTTCAAGCTTTTTCTAGATATATTGCTAGGTGGAGCTGCAGAGTATTCTATCCAAATAAATATTCTAAAGAAAGACCTGACGAAATGCCTGTATATTTTGAATGTACTTTAGTAATTATAGGTAATTATAGATTAAAGTTTACATTTTATCAGCTTTAAGAATTTCTTTCCATAATAAACACTACTTTTTTTATTCACTTATGATTAGTTTGGCACCGTATCTGTAAAGCTTGGTGTTTATATATATCTAACAGGCTATCAGAAAACTTTTTATAACTCTTCCTAACGTGAATATTGTTTTGTGTGCAATTAAAGGCAAACAGGGAATCCATAACCACCGACGATGCGCAAGGTGCCAGTGGTAGTGGAAGTGGTTCCAGTAGTGCTGAACGTGGCCCAGCCACAAGAGGTACGGGAATTAGCGAAGAACAACAACAGAAGATTGCTCAGTTCGAAGAAAACTTCAAGCATATTAAAGAAGTGACCGGACTTTCAGACCTCAACCAAATTGTTAAACGGTTTGAAAGCCAAGGAGAAACCCTCATCCACTTACAAGAGCTAAAAGATAAAGCAGAAAAGCAATGCCAAACTTTGCGAGAAGAGCGTGATCGACTTCAACAACAGTTTGAAGAACTTAAATACTCTGGAGAAACAGAACTGACAAGGTAATGTATTAATCTAATATGCTTTTGAACAAATATCAAACCAGCATTTATGGAAATGACATTAAAATCACAAAACATCATAAAAACTATTTGCTGTATGACTTAATTTCACGAACGGTGCTGCAAGTCATCATTTAATAACGACAATTTAATATATTAAGAATTATTGTTGCTAAAACGCTTCTGTTTGTAAGGCAAAAAAGTGAACTTTAACTACAGTTACTCCAATTAAGCGATGGAAAAAACTCCCCTGTTCTTGAATAGTTACTATATTGCCTTGGGAAATAAATTAGTTTAAGAATGCAACTCTAAATGATTAAACAACCAGTTTTGATCACTGTCTGTCAAAAAGTACTCCCTGAATAAAAAATAAAAAGCTGGATTACATTGTATTTGGAGTTCTTTTATTCTTTACCACAAAACGTTTCATTTACTTGTTCAGGTTTTTGCTACCTTTCACCTCACATCTTTTAGTATGAACCAGTTGTTGGAACAGTACAAGAAGGAAGCCGAAGGTGAGGCACAACGTCGCGAAATGCTGCATCAAAGTGTCAGTGATGCCAGCCGTCTACTGGTTCAGTGCAAAGCCGGAGTGGACCACATACATGACAAACTGACATTCCTTAACGCGGGAACGGGCCCAAGCGACAAATTTTCCGATCGTTCCGAGGGTCAGTTACCCGAAATGCTTAGACAGTGTAATGATCGACTGGATGAACTCATGGCTAGCCTGGACGATGTAGATATACAGGAACAATTGAATTTGATGGAGCAAGAAGAGGTATGTTTTCAAATACACATGGTGTTTTACTGTTCATTCCAATGTTTTCCCGAGTGAGCCCAAGTGAGCCGAAAAAGAAGTCCACCTCTATGCACAATCATTCATACATCAATAGGAAAAATACGAAGAGCTTCTGACAATACTAATCTTTGAAGAACAATTTGTTGAAAGCAAACATTTCTTCTTCCGCCAACTTGAAATACCTTCGTTAACTGTCAGAGAACAATTAAGTTGCATTTTTCTAAGGTTTCAACTAAATTATCAAATGACTGATTTTGTGAGATAGTGTTTCGATAGAATAGATGGGAGAATGCTATGAATAAGTTTCCGAGTGGTGGTTTCACAACGTTGAATACGTCAACGTATGTCGTCAAACTTGCAATTTTATACTAAAACGCTTTTACCGAATAGTTCAACCTATTATTTACCTAAAATAAATGTTAGTACAGGGGATTGATTTATTACCACGGTGATTGAATAAACGTAATCCATGTTTCATTATAGCACTGACTTGGGTCATTCATTGAGTCATCTTTACCAAAATCGAACGGAAATCTGTTCAATAAATAGGACACAAACAATCTCTATGCTGAAAATATTGAAAATATATGTGACTGCATACAAAGCAACAAATGAAAAATCGGAAAACAAATTGGCAATCTCAAATAATTGCAAAATGTTTACACACAAAACACAAAATTCACAAATTATCATCACAAGACGGTGTAGTAGTGGAATCTTTCCTTGGTTCCATTTGACAGGTGGATCTCTGCCAGTGTCACTTGGTAGTGGATTATCTAGTGACAGCTGGATGCAGAGGCCTTGGATATGTTGGTTACCATCACTATGGTATTTTTATGGTAGTTGAAGTGAAATAACTAGTGCCCTATTGTGATTTTACTAGATCAAATATGGAGTTGGGCATTCTGTGCGTGGAGGAAGTCGATTCCGAGAATAGCAGACCATGGAAGTTGATCCACAATAGTCATGGAGAAGTATGTCTTCACTTGTCCCATGGTAATTAGCACCGTAATTTGACCCTGGGTTAGCATGGGGGTTCCATTAACTAGGATTAATTTGAAATGTGGGGACTGTCGACGAGGTGCGTGCTTGCCGACTAAGTTGCATCAAACCAGGGAACACACGGCTTTATTGTCAACGAGTACAATAGTTGAAATATCCCATGTATTAATACTCATAACGGCAACAGACGATATTATTGAGATGCGGCATGCGCATAGAGAAATGGTAAGTTCACGATGCCGATTATAGCCACAAACTATTGCCTTGGTGCCGAATCGCTGGCAGTAATAACAATCTTTGGGCAACGTCCGACGGTTGGAATGCTCCTGGTTTTGCAGGTACCACGGGCGAGTTTGATCACTCCCAGATTGGAAGAGCGGTCGGGGGCGATGGTCACCCATGGGGACAATTTGTGGCGTTTAGGAAAGCTGATCGCGCCCGAGCACAGCCTCAAATTGTTCAATGCGTTGGGTGGTGTCCAACGCTGCCGCTACGTTAGAGAAGAGACTGAGGAGAAATCGGCGTGATCCGCGTGCACACTAGGATCTGTGTGAGGACCTTAGCGTCACGGTCAATGGTGTTCCGGCTTTTCCAGGGTAGGTGGACTTTCACTGGCACTCCAGCGGGTGGTGTCGGTTCTAGCAACCACACACGTTCACCCAGTTGGGACGTTGGAGGATCTCCTCGGCGGCCTTATTGTATTGTATTGTATTACACTGTATTGTATTCAAGCTTTAGCGAGTTATACACAAGCTCTCATCCAAAAGTTAGATCGCCATTACAATTTTGTTAAAAAGAGGTGAAAAAGTTGGACGTGAAACGTGCAAAAAATGAGTTAATTACTAAATGCATTAGAAAGCTCAGAATCAACACTTTTCTTGTCAGTCAGTATCCGGGCAAGATAAAGAGTTTCTGTATGCAAACATGCGGGTTGAGATAAGTTCGTACTTAGAACGGGTGGAGGAGTGAGAAAGGCATGCACACAGGTCAATGTTTACAGGATAGGTGCAATCAGATAGAATGTTTTCAGTAAATTTCAAGCACGCATCAATATGGGCATTACACATATTGCCAATCAGAACAGATAACAGAACTTGGGAGACACGGCAGATCATTGAGAGGCCACGCCTCAGCAACCTGAAATCAGCCTTCAACAAGCCAGGGGAAATTACAAGAGGGCAGTAAAGAGGAGGACACATAGTTGAACGAAAGCGTTTGCCACCGACAAGTCAGAACAGGAGTGGCTCAGTCTTCTTATCTGACAAGAGAGACTTTTCAACTTGCGGGCAACAGTTGGGGTGTTTAAGGACCAGCGACGATTTTTTTCAATTGTGACACCTAAGTACTTCATATGACTGAACCTGGTGATCTGCCTTTCATGAATGTGTACATTTTCGGAGGGAGATGGGAAACGATTTGGCGTAAAAATGCATTCAAGGCATTTTTCAGGATTGAGAGTAAGACAGGATGAACTGAAATATGAAACAAGGTGGGATAGGTTTGTGTTGTATTCAGCTAGTTCTGATTGGTTAGATGCGGAAACAGAAATGACGATATCGTCAGCAGACTTAAAATTTCGAACAGGGAAGTAATAGGGCGGTCACTGGTATAAATCGAAAAAGCATATGGTAACAGGACAGCACCTTGAAGTACATCCGAGATACTAAGTGATGCGGTTGATTGTCTTCTTCTCAATTTATATATTTGCGAAAAGTAATCAGCATGCCATTCAATAATAGAAGCGGAACAGTCAGATTGGAGTTTGTTAAGTAAAAGAGAACAGGGCACCAAATCAAAAGAGAAGAATATTCAAGCAATGCACAATACACATATTTGGCTTTCTCGTTAAGGGACTTGCAGATGAAATGAACTAGAGAAAAAATGGCATCTAATATACAGCGGTTATGTTTATATGCAAACTGATAAGTATCTTCAAGGATGGTAAGGAGTAATTGAAAGCGATGCAGAACTGACTGCTCCATCAATTTCAAACCAGTGGAATTCAGAGAAACTGGTCTGAAATGCTTTGCTGTTGTGGCCTTTGACGTTCCTTTGGGGATAGGAGTAACTCTCGCTGGACTCCAGCAGTCCGCAATAGTTTAGAGTTTGAGTGAAAGATTGGCTGTGTGCAAAATGTGAGATAATGGCAAAGCATCGTGTTTATGAAGGGCAGAGTTTAAGTTGTCTGGACTAGAAGCGGTCGACACCTTGATAGAACATGTGTGTTTATATATCTTACCAGAGGTGATGGGATCAAACGAAGGTTGGATTTGAAGAACTGGAATCAACATTACTGGGGTATGCGTCGGATGAAGAATGAACCGATGCAGTGCTCAGTTTTTCAGTATCAACAGAGGGACTGGAAATCACTTTCTTCCGCCTGCAGAGTAGATTGATTCCACCCCAAATAGATATACAGTTCCTCGTCCTAAAAAGCTGACTTGCATGGAGGGCGTCTAACCGCCTTATTTCACTCTTGATCAAAAAAGATAATCGTTGCATTACGGCTCTACTTCCATATTTAAATGCACGTTACTTTTCACGGCGAATAAGTTTAAGAAGATGTGTTCATATTCTGCCATTTTGAAGAAACAGAGCTATCATAGGACAACATATGTCAAAACACAGTTTAACTATTCTGTCAGAAATTTCATATTGGACAAGCAGGTAGTGTTTAAAGGAAAACAATCGGCAACTACTTTAAGAGACTCTCTAGGAAAGGCAATATTGTCTGTGGAAAGATCTCGCTGACGGATCATGATACGTTTGGGTCGGGTAAAGGGAAAATGTTCTGAGTGTGAGTAAATCCTAGATCCGACTAGGATCAGGCTGTGGTCACTGGTGCCTAAGGGGGAGAACTGTTATGTAGGAAATGTTTGAGCGTGGTTAATGATTATGTGGTCTACATGAGGGGTTCCTCTAGTTGGTTCATTGAGGTTTAAACGGAATAAAGGGTGTAGGGGGCGTGGTTGAAGTCACCAGGTATTAAGCGCAAGCTAGCAGCAAGAGGTGAGGCAATAACCGGTAGAAAATCATCATAAAATGTGTCAATGTCTGATAAACTACACCTGGGTGCAATGTATAAATTAGTGATGGCAATAAGAGGAAAGCGAGAGAATTTGGGGTGACAGGCGACATCCGAGCAATCAACGCCAGGCGTATGTCGCGCCGCATGTGTGTCCACCAAAATCGTCGGCGGGGAGCCTCTTCGAGTTTGTTTTGCCCGGCATGACCGAGTTCCTCGTGCGGGCGGGTTAGTAAATCATCCTTGACTTTTGGAGGGAATACGATAAGGCGTATGTAATCGGGGGCGTCCTGGTAATAGGGGATACTATAAACAATTCGAAGCTGAGACCAAAAAGCTCAAAGATGTCTTATAAAATAGCTGGAGATCTGCAGGTCGTGGCTCGATGGGCGCAGTAATCTCAGACATAAGGGCCGATAGATGGGTTGCAGTTCCTGATCTATTTCCTGTCATCATCATCATCATCGTACAGCGAAATCCCGTGAAACAAACTTCGCTGTTCGC